ATAGCACAACTGAAATAGATTCATAAGAACGTCGAGAACCACAGACAAACAGCTGCAATATGCTTGGCATTCAAGTGATATGCATTTCGAAACAAATAGACTTTATAATTGCTTATTTGCTTAATTTGCTGCTTTCCGTTTTGAAATGACGAGCAGACAGTGATTTGAAAATGAACTTAACTTAAGAAGAACGGCTCGATTTCGGTGAATATATATCACACAAAAAAATTGTTTGTGATTTAAAAAAAACCAAAAATTCTCCATTATTGGCCTAAAATCCTTTAGTAATATCCTTAAAAAATATTTTTATTTTAAAAATATGAAAAACAGTTTTCCTGCTCACATAAATATGTACAGGGTTGTTCATATTCGACGGACCCATCTGGCAACGCCATAACTTTTGACAGAGATGTCACATCGCTTAATGACATACCGCGTTTGAAGTGTCAGTCCAAGCAGATTTATACCATGAACCAATACACGCCACGCGAGCGCTCTGAAATAGTTGAAATTTACATTCAACAGAAGAAGTCAATTGTGATAACTCAACGTGCTTTTAAAACATTAAAAAATGTGAGAAGTGCGCCTTCTAAGAACACCATTAAGCGTTTATACGAAAAATTTTCGACTGGTAAGGCTCTTTCTAATCCGAAGAGGCCATATAAAAGTCGACCAAGGCGATCGGCCGAGAATATCGCTGCCGTACGTGCCAGTGTTGAGAGGTCCCCAAGAACATCCCAAAAACGCCGTTCTCAGCAGTTGGGCATGGCTCGGTCCACTTTACAACGGATTATTTGATTTGCATTTGTTCCCGTACAAAATTCAATTGACCCAAAGAATGTTGCCTGCGGACAAGCCTCGTCGATTGGAATGGGCCCAAAGGGCCCAAAGGTCCATCGAATATGGGCAACCCTGTATTGTAAAATAAATCTATTTTATAATCTATAACACTGTGTTGTGAAGGTATTATGGGTTTGATTGGCCCAAAAAGATGAAAACAATTCGAAAATAGACCTACCATACAGTATTCGATCTTTCTATCTCGCCGATCCAGCTATTTGTGTCCGTTTGTCTGACCATGTTATTTGTAATCACTCTGCAGATCGCAACTACGGCCCGATGTCCACGAAATTTTCCACAGAGTTTGGGTCAGAATAGATATTTATAGTTCTTGGTTCGCAAAATGGACCAAAAGTTATAATCGGATATCTCAGAAGCTTGTTTAGGACAGGGCAGAAGCTTGTAATGTTAAAGGGTCACCGAATCATATATTTTTATACCCTACAACATCATGATTGGGCCAACCACACAGGTTGGGGTTATTCTATAAAAATTGCAATTATCGTCCGATTCTCTATTTTCACAAGGGTAGGGTTAGGCTCAGAAGGGCTAGATCTATCGCTTTCAAAGATGTCCGCAATATATTTAGAGGTTAAAATGGACCAACAACTAAAAATATTCCTGATTTTGCAGCCGTTATAAAGGTCATAAATAAAAACCAAAAGACACGAAATCTCACTTGAAGTTAGAGTTAGGACAGCGGATGGAATTGACCACTCCTTTGGTGTGAAAAAATACAAACATTACTTACAGGTGATATGCGAAATACACAATAGGCGAACTTCTGGCTTTTTTATGCTGATTTCGTTGACGAATATAGTTAAATATTGTAGACGAACAAATCATATAGAGTCGAAATTTGGAGATACAGAAGGGCCTTTTGCATTTGGAGATGATCGCAAAATATTTTGGCGATCAAATGAACCGAAAACAGAAAAATTTTGCTGATCGCACAATTGAAACAAATCGATACCGAATTTTGCCTGAGAAGAGAGTTAATGACAGGGAAGAATTCTAGCGTTTTGGATGACCATATTTAACTGTAAAATGGACCACACCAACTAACAGCACGACGGACTGCCAAAATATTGGGTCCCTTGTCAGAATGCTAAGGGATATATATGGGCAGGGCTCCGTGACATAATTTCAAAAGTGAAAATTTTCAAAATGGATTTGGGCATAAAGGGATTTGGACATTGTAGTGTTGTAGAGTATCACATGGTCGGCCCCGCACGACTATAGCCTTTGCTTACTTGTTAATACATGAAAATGGGTCTTTTTACCCTCATAAACAGCACGTATTGTTTAGTGAGAAATCGGAGATATAGCAACAATTATCAGGAATCAACATTTAAAAATATTTTTTTTTTTTGAATTGGAATGACAGAGGGAGCAATAAAAGAACATTTTCTACGAAATGTTGCAAGGTTCCGTGGCTTCGGCATAGCTTTTTACATGATCATACAATATTTTTAAAAATATCGAAATGGACCAAAAACGTACATATGTTCTCCTAATAAGCATGCATTAATCTCGTTCTGACAGCGGAACATAAAAAAGTTCAAAAACCGAGAACACACGTGGATCTCCAAAAATACAGGGTGAGATGAAAAAACTGCAAGCAACTTCAGACTGCTGTCATTTCCAAGCCACTCGTCCGACAGCTGTTCAAATTATTCCAGTGACAGCTGATTATATTGTTTGCAAGCGTAGAAAAGCTTTTTGGTAAGAATTTTACAGAAAAAGTTATTCGTGTTGGAATTCAAGCGTGATAGTGTGATTTCCTTATATTTGGCTGGAAAACCACAAGTGGCTATTGGTAGAGCACTCCAGCATTTAGATGTGGATAAATCTGGTCGCGTAGCCCGACGTCAAGGAAGTGTACGAAAGCAAACAGACACATCAGCAGAAATGGTTCGAAAAGTAAATAAGCGACTTGATCGAAAACCGCGTCGCGGTGCCTGAAAATGGCTTATTGGCTGAACATATCGCAATATTCCATTCGGAAAATATTGAAAAATGAGCTCAGGATAAAACCATTGAAATTCCAAAAAGTGCAAGAACTTACACCACAACTGAAAGAAAATAGACTCAAAAGAGTTAAAGAGTTGCTTCGCTTGGTCGAAAGTGGTGAATTGCCGAATTTGGTTTTCTCCGATGAGAAAACATTCATTGTCCAGCAGTTTTAAACAAACAAAATTATCGTGTTTAATGGCCAAAACGGTCAGCTGAAAATGTGCACCTACGGTTGGCCACCAGAACTGAAGCGCCGGCCATTGTGATGGCCCATCATAACAGCCGATGGTCGCTCTCCGCTCGTATTACTCGACCGTGACATCAGAATAAATGCCGAATATTATCGCGAAAATATTCTGGAGGGTGTATTAAAGCCATGGGCATTCAAACATTTCGGCCGTGGACCTTGGACATTCCAACAGGACCCAGCACGCGCCACCCAAGAATGGTTACAAAATGAGGTTCCTCGCTTCAATTCCAGCGCAAAATGGCCACCATTCCGTTGGACTATTGTGTCTGGAGTATTTTGGAAAGCAATGTTGGCACTAAAAAATACCAAAGTGTCGATCACCTCAAGCAAGCGCTTCGGTGGGAATGGGCCAAAATACCGCAGAGCAACAGCGGGCAGCGTGTGACGGTTTTATTGTCCGTTTGAAAACCATAATTCGTGCTAAAGGTGACCAATTCGAATAAATCTGAGCTTATTCTAAAATTTGATGCATTTCCGACATTTTTTGCTTTCATTTAATAAAAAGTAAAAAAAAAAAAAAAATGTAAAAAATATGGCGTTTGACTTTGTTGCAGTTTTTTTTATCTCACCCTGTATATCATTTTAAACGACCAAAACGCTCCTCATACAAACACCGGTTTTAGACCCTAGGTCTCTTTGGACCAAATCCGTTCCAGGATATTTGAAAACGATCTAGCGATGTCCGTCCTTCTGTCTGGCTGGTGCGCACAATAACTCTCGAAAGTAGTATCCGATTAGGATACATAGTAATATTGTTATCAAACTTAGATTGAGTTCGCAGATGGACAATATCGGTCCACTCCTTCAAATAACTTCCCCACAAGAGGGCAATATTTTCAAAGAAAATAATTTACATATTATATATTTTTCTTTACAAAATATCTGATGTGAAGATGGCATATATCGGTATCTCCGCCACAACGGGTCAAAATTTTAAATAACCATGAAGCTCGTAAAACACGAAATGAGCATCCAATTCTTTTCAAATTTCACACATTCCAATACTTCTAATTAAGCAGGATCTGGTGCCGATATGGTAGATATCGGACCACTACTTCTGATACCTATCCCACAAAGGTCGAAATCTTCAAATCTCGCACATTTTCACTAACACAAGTTCTGTTATTAAGAACAGACCAGTCCTTCTAGTACCTCCCCCACAACAGGTCAACATTAGGAATAGTCATTAAGCACATAAAACGCGAAATGAACATCCGTTTACTTTCAAACTCACTCAAAAGTCACATCCCATGCTTCTATAATACCAAGACCTGTTGTGAATTTGGGCAATATCGGACTACTCATTCTGGTTCCTCCCCATACCTTCCCAAAACCCGAACTTTTTAATAAAACTTTCAACTACCTCATATAAAGTGGAAATAGTCGATATAAAAGTTTTAAAAGCATTTTCTCGGCCTATTTCCCTGATCATTTGTCATTTTTCTAATGATCTCCCATCGAAGTCACTGTGTGACAGCTGTGTTTGCTAAAACATAAAAATAATCAAGGATATAACCGATGTTTAACGAAGTATGCATTGGATACAAGAGCGGTAGCTAGTCAGTCAAGCGGGCTGGCAGCTATGCAAGCAACCAACCAACCAACGTTAGAAAGAGATTATTAACACTTCAATGAGCAGCTCTTTTTGAGTTCTAGTTGTTCTCTTTCCCACTCCCTCCCTTCGTTCATCTTGTAACACTTCTTTGCTTTGTGCGAACTAAAAATGCATAAATGTGTTATTGAGCGATAATAAGTTAAGTGAAATGTTGGCAGTTCTGTGGCAAATATGAAAAAGAGGAAGAAGAAAAAAAGAACAAAAAAAAAAAGAAAACTAACAATTTTTGAGAAGAAGAACGGGAATGGGGTTAGTGTTATGTGGTGCAAAAACACTTACCTATTTAGACCATCGATGCACACGCCAAATACACAGGGATTACTGAGGCAGGCAAAGCCGGCATGGGCATAACCAACCAGTGAGGCCATGGTGAGCAAAACTAAAAGCTGGCTAACGAATTGTATGGTGGTGGTGCTGGTGCTGGTGGTAGAGGTTGATGTTCGGGTTTTCCTGGTTCCCGGTGTAGCTGGGGCTGTTGATGATGCTCTGCTTTTGGTGCCACATTGCATTTTAGTTTGCTTAAAGATGAAAGTGGCCAGAGTATTGTAAAAGGCTCCCAAATGTAGTTCATTTACATGGCTGTTTTTGTTGTTCCTATTTTCTCTAAAAATGTTCATAGCGGAAGTTGTCACTTGTTGTCTTTTGGAGGATTTGTTGATGGCAGAGGAGGAGGATGTTGTATTGGTTATGGGAGAGTTGCTGTTTTTAGTAGAATGTAACTCGTTGTCCTGATTGCAGTTTTTCATCTCCTTGTTGTTGTTGCTTTTATGCAGGTGGTGTTGACGTTGTTGCTGATAGTTAAGGTGTGGCAGAGGTTGATATTCCTCTTCGCTTGCCTTAGTTGGTCTGACAGCTGGCATTGCAGTTAAAATTTCCGACAATGGCGATGTTGATGATGACATTGTCACTGTTGTTGCTGGCGTTGTGATAACGTTAACGGTGGATGTTGTTGGTTGTGTCCTGGAAACTGCTGTGGCTGTTGCAGATATCGTTTCGTCGTCGCGGCCTTCGTCGTGGGTTTTATTCAGTGCCTCCTTCGTTTCCCAATTTTCCATTTGTTGTTTATTGGAGAAGAAGAAGATTTTTTTATGTTTTATTTTAACCATATTTTTATTGAATTTAAAAGGAGTCGATGTCTCTCCGATCAATCCCTGCTGTTGCCTTAACTCTGGTAAATCATTGCATGTTTGGTTGTTTCCTTGGAAATCGTGGGGATTTTGGAACTTTGTTAGCTCTGGCTTTGTTATTGTTACTTTGATTGAAGTAAAATTTCGTTTATTTTCGCTGTTAGTTTTCATGTTTTTATGTTCTCGCTATTGTTGTTGCCTTTGTTCTCCACTTTCCCGTTTTTTGTTTTTTTTGTTATCTGCTTTAAAAATTCAATCAAATTTTGAAAACACACACATATGCTTTTCGTTGCTATTGTTGCTGTTGTTTCATTGATTGATTATAAATTTTCCCGGTAAGGACAACAACAGTCAGTCAGTCAGTGAGACAGACAGACAGACATCCAGCCAGAAACGAAATCAAACAAAAGAAAGAAAAATAAAATAAAATCTCTTGAACAAAAGGAAAATGTTTGTTTTTCTCTATATTTTTCCAATTGTTGGCGAATTTTTTCCTTTTGTATGGCTCTCTTTTATTCACAAACACACACACACGAATACACTCACAAAATGCCCTCAAGGACCTTAAACGGAAGGCAAGCAATTTCAACGATTCGAAGATAAATAAACTCTTTGCAACATGCCTTTAATGGCCAGTAGAGTTACCAGGGTAACAGGGGGCAAGGGGAGATGGTCCACAAAATGTTGCAATTGAATGTTGAATTAATCCACAAACAGTTGAGTTGCTCTTTTGATCCATCAAATCCTCTTAAGAGCTTTACGGCTATCTCTTTTACTGCTACTGGCGGAAGGGCTGTATGCTACTCGTTAATATGGCACCTTTTAGCCACGTCTTTTCGGTTACACAGTATATCGACGGGCTTTTGTTTCCTTCCCCCTTTAAGGGATATTAATTGTTTATGTTTGGGTTACAGCTGATTTTGTTGTCTTTGGAATTGCATCAGTTACAGTTACTCTCTCTCTCTCTCCTCCCGTTTGACTCTTCAATATAAACTTCTTTTTTGTCTCTTAAATATTTCGTTCTTTTACTCGCCTTGAAAATAGTTTTTTGTTAAATCTTTAATTGGTTGCTGCAAAGAAAAAGAGAAAAAGAAGAATTCTTTAAAAAAATGTAAATCACGTACATGTATCAATAAAAATGCTTTATATATGTTTATGTTTATATACATCTCTCCTCCTCTCGGTTTCTCTCTCTCTCATCTGCCTCTTTTCCCTTTGAGCTGCTGCCTTAATTAAAATTCTTTTTTTCAATTTTTTCCCCTGCGATTTTTTTTATTTTTACTGACATGTTTTTTTGTTTTTGTAAAAAGGAAAATTAAAGTGGTTATTTATTTTTTTGTTTTAAAGTTCATTCATCTCTTTGTCGATTGCCTGGCTGTCTGGCTGATGGCCACAAAGAGCTTTTTGTTAACGTCACAAAAGCAACAGAGGGTAGAGTTCTGGTTTCTGTTATTATTTCTCGCAGTGAAAAACTTTACAGCCATTGATGTAGCATTCTTTTTCTTTCCCATATTGAAAAATGCAGTATTAAATTATTGAATTTTGTGCAATTTCATTTTTCATCTGAGATTGGCTTGAGTTTTTGTTGTACCACAATAAAAGAATTTATTAGCTTGTGTTTGTAATAAAATCAGAAAGCTACATAAAAATGTTGTTTCGAAAATTAAACAATTTTTCTGGATAGAGAAATATAGAAATAAAATCATTAACATATGATAGTCGCCTTCACACGAAAACAGCTCTCAGTTTTTATACCCTCCACTATACATAGTATTAATGGTATATTAAGTACTTCATTCCGTTTGTAACTCATCGAAATAATAACTGTAGACATAACTATGTATATTCTGGAACAGCGTAAAATTCTAAGACGATTTAGCCCTGTGCATCCATTCGTCTGTCCCTCCGAATGTTCGTTCGTTGTAATCACGCTAGCGTCAAAACAAATAAAGGTATGAAGATGAAAATTCGCACAGATCAGTCTCTTGTCGGCAGGCAGGTCAGGTTCGAAGATGGGCTATTTCGGTCCACGATATCGTATAGCCCCCATATAACGGTTCACCCCGATATTCGACATTTTAATGATTATAGCCAAATTTTTCAATGAAATTGTTTGAAAATCCACAAAAAGAGGTCCTTCTGAGTACTTCAACCGCTGGAAGAATATTTTCTATATAGGTCCATGATATCGTATAGCCCTCATCCATGATATCGTATAACCCCCCGATATTCGGTATTTTTAAATTTTTCAGTGAAATTGTCTTAAAATCCACACAAGGGGTTCCTTCTGAGTACTTTACCCCTCAGATGAGAATTGTTTAAATAGGGCCACGTATATAAAATTCGTATAAAAAATTCGGAACCGTTACTAACACGTCTTCATATAGCCCCTATATAGCGGTTTTCATTCGAGCGGTATTTTTTCGACAGAATTTTTTAAGAGAATTCTTTCGAAGTTTCTTCCAAATGGTGGAGGGTATGAAAGGTTCGGCACTGCCGAATTTGCCTTCTTTATACCCTACACCACAAGGTGGTCAGGGTATTATGTCTTTGTGCATTTGTTTGTAACAGGCAAAAGGAAACGAGATAGACCCATTGTTCCTTTTGATTATCTGTATAGAATCACATTCTGAGTCGATTTATGCATGTCCGTCCGTCCGTCTGTCCATGTATTTTTGTAAACAAAGTACAGTTCGCAATTATTGTCCTATCCAGATGAAATTTTGCAAAAATCATTTGTTTGGCCAAAAGACGAACCCTATTGAAATTAGAGATAATCGGTCAAAATTTAGATATAGCTCCCATATATATCTTCGTCCGATTTGCTTTTATTGTGCACCAAGCGTGTAATATCAGCCCGAATAGCATGGAATTTTGCACATACAACCTAGTTAGGCCTGAAAATAAGTATGCCAAATTTGATAGAAATCGGTTCAGATATAGCTATAGCTCCCATATATATTGTTTATCCGATTTATTATTTTTGTCCTCCGCAGCCGTAATATGCACTCTATAACAACAATATTTGGGGAAATATATAAAATACAGCCCAGAAATACATGTGCCAAATTTTATCTAGATCGGTTCAGATTTGGATATAGCTCCCATATATAACTTCGTCCGATTTACCTTATATTGTGCACCAAACGTCTAATATTTGTCTAAATGGGATGGAATTTGGCACTTACGACCGAATTTAGTCCACAAGCTAGTATGTCAAATTTGGTGAAGATCGGTTCAGATATAGCTATAGCTCCCATATATATTGTTTATCCGATTTGTTGTATTTGTTACCCACAGCCGTAATATGCACTCCGTAACAACGATATTCAGGGAAATATATAAAATACAGCTCAGAAATATCTTAGCGAAATTTTATGGAGATCGGTTCCGATTTGGATATAGCTCCCTTATATATCTTTATCCGATTTCAAATCAATTGTGCACCAAATGTGCAATACAAGTCCAAATTTAAAAGATACAAATGCTTCGGCATATTTGGTCCTTTGAACTTTAAATTATAATTATAATCATAGCGTGTATGATTGAATTCTCCCATAAAAACTTTTAATTGTTATGTGGAGCTCTACTAAATTAGCAAAGTGGTGTAGGGTATCATAAAGTCGGCCCCGCCCGACTTAAAGACTTTCATTACTGGTTTTTACTTGTTATACTTTCATTACGGCTACAGAGGATATATATCCTTTTGTACGGCCAAAACGTGACTCATCAAAATAACAGTTTTATACCCTAGGTCTTTTTGTACCACATCCATTTCAGGGCGTTTGGAGTCGATCTGGCGATGTCCGTCCGTCCGTCCATCTGTCCGTCTGATACCACACTTCAAAAAATGTGCTAAAAATAAATTAAATCTCGAATATATGGGAATATGTGAAAACGTGGACCTGAATGGACAGTGATCTGCCACTGAAGGTGGGATCTATAACGATCCCATAATACCAACTTGGGAAAAATTTCGTTAAATAATGTGTCCATCACCATTCCATCACTTTTGTATGGTGGCTGTGCGAAAACATGTACCTGAAGAGACAAGTATTTGCCACTATAGGTTGGGTCCATTAAGATCTTTAAATTCCAATTTTATAAAAATTCAGTTCAATAAGGTGTCCAAAATCATCTAAATATCAAATATCGGACTGATCCCTTTTATGGGGTTTATACGTAAAGTTCGGCCTACATAAACAATTTTCTGCCAGAGAAAATGGTACCTATTGAGACCTCAAACTTTAAAAAACTTCCGCTAAAAATATGTCTAAAATCGTGTAAATACCGAATATCTGGAGGTAACGTTATACAGTCAATTACAGCCAATTCTCTTGACAAATATGGCTAAAGCCCAACAATACCCAAATTCGGGTTGTACAGTTATATGGGGGTTATAACAAATAGTGGATTTATATATACCTTTTTTCAAAACCAAAAATTCAACTGATCTAAAATGTATCTGAGTTAAATTTTGTATAACTACTTCATTCCGCTCAGAAGATAGAGAAATTTCCACAGACGGCTAAATCGACATAAAATCTTATGTTGACCAAGAATATATATACTTTGATGGGTCGAAAATGCTTATGTCGGGGAATCAGAAGGGAATGCATGGCCCATCTCCAAACTTAATATTAGTTTGGCTCATGATTCTTAACGTTTTTCAGAAGGAGTGGGTCGATATTGTCCATCTATATATACAATAGGGTATTGAGATTTCTGACTGACTGACTAAGAATCAGCGCCCAGATGAAACGACATTTTGCACGAGGCTCAGTCTTGGTGCTTAGGGGTGTGATAAGAACAAGAACTAACATATTCTAAAAAGAATACTTTGTATCGGACAAACGGAATGACATTTGGAATATAATTCACTGATGGAGTGCAGGGTAGATGAACCAAGGGGTTTTTGGAAATTATAACTTTAAGGTTCCGAAAAGTTCTTAAAAGGTACTAAATTTTTAAAATTGTACCATTTGGTATAATGTGAACGAAACTTGAAATTTTGGTATGAGAATCAAGGTAGGAAAGTTAGTTTGAAAGGTGAACGGATGAAGCTCGAATTTTGAAATTTGGTATTTGTGTCCCTGCTGGTGGTAGGTTTGTGATAGTGCGGTGGTTTTGGAAATGTGTGCTACAATTGCACGAAAATGTCTAAATATTACAATGTTTGGTACAATTTGGTACTGGGAGGACATTTGGAGTCGCTGTTCATGTGTAGCCTTGACATATGGAGGTAGTTCGGAAAATGTGTGCTATAATTGTACGAAAAGCACTGAATGATACTATATTTTTAATATTGAGTGAATGGATAGATTACTGATATTATCTGTGTTGGAAATGCGTCTTTTTTTTTGGTACGAAAAGTACTAAATGGTATCAAATTTGATATTGGGTGAGAGAATAGGCCTGGAATCTCCAAATTTCATATAGAGGTCTCTATTGGTATCTGGAATTGAGATATAAAAATTGTTTTGGAAATGTATACCATAAGTGTAGAAAAAGTACTAAATTGTTGCTGTCTTCGATGGAGGGATGTAGGTTGTGTTGGATATTTATAGTAAATGTTACTAAATTTGGTACGGGGTGAAGGGATAAAGCTGAAATTCTGAAATTTGATATTTAAGTCACCATTGGTTTCTGGGGTATACATCTGGAGACGTTGAAATAGTTTTGGACAGAAAAATCGGATGTGGGTCAATTGTGCAATGGTTTTACTAATATCCCTCTCGGTAAATTTCAAAATTAAAGATTTTAAGGATTTTTTAGTCTAAAATTTAAACATTTTCCTATTATTTTTTCCGAAAAAAGTATAGCTTGAATTATATAGAAAGCCTTGGAAGTATGAAAATTTAAAATGATGTACGAAGTTTTGATTTAAAAATGTTGTCAAATTGAACAAATTGTGCACTTTGAGTACTAAAAAGGCCTAACACAAATTGTCGGAACAAATCAAATATTTTATGGCGGACCTTTTTCTGACAAAGTAGCGGGCACTTGACAGCTTCATATAAGTATTTAATCTTTTTAGAGGAGGTATCAGTAAATTTTTCGGAGATACAAA